CACTTACAGGATGTCTGTTCAACTTATAATTTTGTTTTACTGTGAGCCACTCATCCACATCTAGGCTTGACGACTAATTACTGGAGGGATAAAATCAACATCTATTGATGCAATACCTCTGGTTACCGGGACCACCACAATATGTTCCCTTCTCAAAGAGAAGGCCNTGTAATGAAAGAAAGCAAGTCTGACTATTATACCATAAACAAGTTGGGGCAAAAATAATTTAATTGATGCATTTAAATAAAAGCTACAGAAATCACTATCATCTGCAGAGTTCTTAGGGTGGCATATGCACAACAGCTGTATTTTTTGTCGTATTCCACTTTGAACCAATTTGGGGGATGCGATAGTCTAACCTCCATGTGGCGCACCCTGAGCAACGTATACTCATACGGCAGTTGACTTCTGACTTTAAGCTACCATCACCCCACTCTATGTCATATTCCACCACTTTCACACTACTCACCTTACCTTTTTCTCTCCCTTTGTGTCTGTCTGCCTCTTTTACATCTGTGAATCACTCTTCTGTTCCCCAACTCTCAACTTTCTGCTACTTTGATGGACCTTCCCTCTGTGAAGCCCGAAGTCAGCTAATTGGCTAATGATAGCTATCAAAAGGCCTGTCATATGAAATAAATTAATACTTTGAACCTATTTAAATGTTATCGGCTCATTGGGATCGCTTTGTATGACTCTCGACGCGAGAACCACTCACTCAACAAATAACATTTTCTGTCACAATTCCTCATATCGAGTCTCCTACTCCAAGAAGACTCGAATAGTCATTCGCTGTAATCACTGTAATACATGTTCCCTCTATAAGTGCGTAGTTCCTTATAAGAAGTCATAAATGTGAAAGACTTTTTGGTCAACTCGTTTGGATACAGTTTATAATTGTATGGAATAATAACATTATTATTTTCAATATCTAAGACTAGCAAAGCATTGTTAATTTACACAATCGACAAATCTCGATTTAGTATATCAATAAGTAGGGCATTCACAGAAATGGTTTGATCGTATAAGCAGATATAATACATTTTCAACATCTTCTTTTTCAATTTTTTTACTATATCTTTCAAGAAATCATCCATAGTTATGTTGTCGGAATTCAGTATCATCTTTAGTCGAGAGGTATTGAACCCAAAATCATAATCTCCTTTGACTTTAAGGTCATAAATGCCAGTTTAGATTTTCTAGGAAAGATTGCGACTGATCCTTTTCCCAAGCTATAAATGACAAGTAGATACTGTAGGCTTCTCCGATTTTGATGATCTTTTTTCTGAACTTAAAGAAGACTTCACCAAAGTCTCTGACACCTAGAGAAATAGCCTATTGAATTTTTTAACCTTCAATTGTTTTTAGCCAATCTGATGTGCCTGTTATAGTGGTTTCATAAGATCTGGGCGATTGAGAGAACAGACTACGCACTTTCAAATATTACAATAGCATCAGATAATTATGAACTCTTTGACCTGACGATTTCTACTCGTATTATTCAACGGCCGTTACTCTATAGTCCAACAAAATGGTATCCTAAACAAATGAATTTCATGAAACTGGTCCATATACTCACAGTAAAATGCAAAATATTTGGTTTTGGATTTTGATTTCCCTTGTGACGATGGTTTAATAGAATGGCGCAAAAGGTTTATTAGCGTCTCTAAAAAAGCATCCCACGAGGTGTTTGATCGGTCGATCCTTGAGTCAATTGCTACAATCTTTAGGAAGATGGGAAGTCCAATCGGTTCGAATTACTCTGGAATAACCAGGTCGCTCATCGGCTGATACTTAAATCAAATTCTGTTCAACCAACTCTTGGTCTTTTTTTCAGTGAGAGGTTTATGCCTTAATATGCTTTAGTTCCATGATCTGCTGCAGTGGATTAAAGATGCCATGCCTTCCAAATTAGTCACCGTTTACTGATGTATCTCGGCTAATGAAAGTCTGATTTATTCTAGCATACAATAGCAACGATTAAAACTTTGAATTCTCAAAGAAAGTCCTTAGAAGTCTCTTTAACACTAATGTTTATTGCTTAGAACGAAGGAAGAGTATTAGAATAGTTATTTTAGTGCTCTGTTACTTGGTATGGACTATCAAAATGGGCCCAATTAGTGGATCAGAGCTCAAAATACATGGTTCAGGTACTGTTGGTTGTGTTGGTGAATCTCTTAAAGTCTAAGTGATAACTTATGCACAGAATAAAATTAGAAAAATAAATTATGACAATGTTATGAATTTGTTGGAGTATAAATTCCTCACAATTTAATACGTAAGAACAACAAATGTAGCTTAATCGTCACTTTTAGAGATATCATTATTATTCCATGGGAAATGTAAATGATATCTTTGTTGTGGAGGCAAGGATGGGAATTTGTTGGTTTACTACTCTACGAAATCCTTTCGATTTTCTCCAATACGCAATCGAATGAACATAGTTTAATGAAGGAAGGACGAAGATGGGCATCGGTAACGAGAGAGAGAGTGTGTGTGTGTGTGGGAACGAATGCAAGGGTATAAAATCACTTACACAGCGGCATTTTTAGCTCATCATGAAGACGTAAAATAGGCATTTTAATGGAGGATTAAAAAGTGGTATTGACCACTCAAAAGTCAATTGATTGGTTAACCCTTTAAAATCCTTAGGACCGTACAGTCATCTTTCGAAATAAGCTCCATTTGTACTATGCTCATAGCATAAAGCGCTATTGTCATTTGAAATGTGTTCAGTACGTCTACAGCCTTCGCTTGATACCGTCGCTTCTCATCACGTTGGCATTAGTCTGCTGTGAAACTCGCGTGAGTGGGTTAAGTCGTACTAATTGAAATAAACCAGTTGAAGTCTTGTCAAGGGTTACGGCCCTCGAGGATCAATATAGCTTAGCAATAGGCTTTAAGTCAAGACCAATGTTTGAATTTCAGAAAAATGATCATTAATGTCTCTGGCAAGTTGAATACGTCTATCTTGAGATGAAATTTAAGGGAAAGCCAATTTCGTATTGATGAAACCTTCTGAGTTATCAAATGGTATAAATTATTCAGCCGCCATATCTTCTCCGCTGGTTGAGTAATGATTATTTGATAGAAAACGGAAATTTAGTTAGACAACTTGCATTCCTCAGTGTTCTAAAATTCGAGCCATAATAACACTAAAACTGGTTTTCAAATAGAAATAAATTTTAATAAAGCAACCTTCAATGATTGCATTTTTTAACATGCGGTTTTCGTAAACTTATAAAATCGGTAAAGAAGTTACACCTTTCAGAAATTCTTTTAGCTTTTTAAATATGATTTCATTGATTGGAGCCTAATCAATATAGAATCTAATTAGTTGAACACAAAATATGCACATTAAAAGATATTTTGTTGGTAAAATGATTAATATTAAGTTCGACTTTTAAATTTAAAAAATGAGATGTTAAAGTGGCGTAGAGAGTATTGGTTGCAGTCAGTATTCAAAACTTCGTTCTTAATAGGCGCTAATGAGGGTAACAAAATATTCTCGAAGGAATAGACTCAATACTTCTTAATAAGGGGAATTTTAAATCACAAAGTCAGTGTCTAAGTCGATCGCGTGCTAACCGTATACAGCGGAAGAAGCATCCTCTTTCAATTGGGTCAATGGTCTCCCCATTTCTCTTCTTTTCCCATCGATGGAGTTTCCGCAACGGAATGCACATAACACCAGAGATAATTAGACATCCACCTCCAAGGAAGAAAGTGTATCGATAATCGTTGTATGCATCATAGAAGGCAGCTAAAAGTAAAGATTTGGAAAAGAAAAGCATTAATCTACCCCAAGTCAATATAAGTAGAGTGCGCTAAATAAATATTTCTTACCAAGAATAGGTGACGATGCCATGTAGGCAACACCTTGGAATAGCAATAGGAAACCATAGGCGTTTGTTAGCCTGTCAAGACCCAGCATTTCAACCAAAAGGATTATACGAAGTGACACAAAAGCAGCTGAAAGAAGAAAATAATTGTACATCGAATAACCAAGGAAGAACATTATTGGAAAGTGGAGAGTACTTACCAATTGAGAGACCAAAGGTCACCGCATAAGCGACATGACCAGCATAGGTAGGTAAGATAGGAAGAAGCATACAGGCTACCCCGGCAATAATTAGAGCTGCGTTATTCACAAGCAGAGCATCAGTACATGGCCAGTCAGAAATGACACCAGCTACAATCCTTCCAACTGTATTAACAGAAGAAAGATAAACTAAAAGATTTGCGGACGACTCCACAGTGAAACCAAGGCTCTGTGCTTCACTTGACAGAAACATATAGGGCACCGGATAACCTAAAATTAAATATTAACATTAATTTTTGGTAAGTGAAACAAAATAGAGTAAGAGAATTGAGTTTACCAAGAAGACCGAACACACTGGATGCAAGGAGGACTGCAAATGTTGGACTTCTAAAAAGACTAACGTCGAATAGTTCCGAAAGCATTCTGATAACCTTGTTAGATTTTATTTTAGATTCCTTTCCAATCTCTTCGTCAACTGCTTCTATAATACCTGAAGCTCCAATCCTTGTAACACTGCGTACGTATTCATTTAGTGTGTGAGATGAGACGAACTAAATTAAAAATTAATATTTACTTAAAATGCATAAGTAGAGTAAAATTTCGGACTTAATAAATGGCTTCTCACCTCGTCCAGTCGAGACATGCTAGTAGTATAGAAGAAATCAGCACGATTCACAGGAAGTTCTGTCTCGCGCTCAAGTCGTCGCTTGATTTCCTCCTGCAGTTTCGGGTCTACGTGAACACCAGCCTGCACGTATGGACGTAAGGATACAGATGACGTGAAAAGCAGGCTAGATCCTTGAGACTGGTCATGCTAAATGAGAAACAAAAATACATTTATCAATAGCAATTTAACCTTTAAGCCATTTTCTGGACGTCTATGTTGGCACAAATACGGGCATGACGGCAATTCTGAACTTTAAGTAGTGATATGAATACTTTTGAGTCCACAGCACAACTTTGTTTATTGCATACTATGCCTTGTTTGACTTATTTAGCCGACAATATTTAACGGCACAATTTCATTAATAAAGTGGCAATCAATGTTATCTTTAAATCGCATTAGCTCAAATCTCAAAGTGAGCGGTTCTTTTGAAGCTGGGCAAATAAAGAGGTCCATCGGATCAAATAAAGTGTCCATAAATCGGATATAATTGTTGAGGCGCAATTATCAACCTCCCAAAATGGCCGCAAATCTATCGAATTTAAAATAGTGACATAAAGATATAAATATTTTAGCTTTTTCTCAAAATGCTACTTCTTGATGATGCATAATTTTGGAGCATTTAATTATTATGAGTAAACGCGTGAAAGAACTTTACTTTTACTCACAAATTTGCCTTTGCTCTTCTCAAAATCCTTGTCTTTGTTGTTATGAACTCAGTCAACATATTATCAAATGACTTAATTCAATTTTCACAGAAAGCAAGAAACTGAGGCAGGCAGGTGGTAGCTTCTAAGTAAGAAGCGCAAGTAAAGCCAAAATATAAAAAGGGCATATAATGAGCTAGTTTTGACTCCTCACGGCACATAAAAGAAAGCGATAAAACTGATGATATTTGTACTTTTCTTCAACCTTTTCTTTTAATTTTTTGAAATGAAACAAGTAGTTTGGTCCACTCGCAGGATTATTCCAGAATCTTTCCAAATCAGCAATTTCATAAATTGTCTAACTCAATTATGAATTCAGCTAACAATAATATAACTCGATTCTCAACAAAATTATTATTCCTTTTTTTGCGCATTCCCATGGACAAGTTCTTCAGCACCTATGAGAATAGACCAAGACATCTGAAAACACAATCTGGTCTAATACAGAAAGCCATAGAACTGAAGAAAGCGTTACAAATCGATGATAAACCAAAAAGCCTCTCTCTCCCCATGAACCCATTAGCAGACATTGATGTAGTGTGTTGCACCCAACTGCTCGACTTCTTCAGGAAATCAAACACTCCTCCAGAGCAAATGCGCTCACTGGCCCTTGAGACAATCAATTTCAACTATCCTGCAGATCAATGGCTCCAAGTCTTCACTGATGGGTCATACATAGAAAACCAAGCAAACGTTGGTGCAGACGTCTATTCTGAACTCTTCTCTTTCTACGCAGCAGCGGGACATAATAGATCCGCTTTTGAAGGAGAAATAGAGGCCATTAGGATAGCACTATGCCAATTATGTTGCCTGGATACGAAATTCACCAAAGCGGTGATACTTTCGGACTCACAGTCAGCAATAGACTCTATTGGAAACAGAGAGACACCCAAAACAGTTGAGATAAAGGAATGTAGAAAACTCTATGAGCTGCTGAGAGAGAAAAACAAAACAGTGGTCCTACAATGGATTCCTGGTCACTGTGGCATTAAAGGCAATGAGATTGCTGACACACTTGCTAAGAAGGGGACAACGATTTTGCAATGCATGTCTTTCCACACAATGAAGGCCTTAATCAGGAGAGAATTCCAGACCTCAAGGTGCAATGAACTTAAAGCTCGAACAAAGGAGAAACAGTGGACAGTGGCACTCTCCGACATACCCGACTGGCCAAGAATCGAAGCCGTTGCTGAGTTTAGACTACGTACCGGACACGATTGCTTGGCAAAACACCTTCAGATATTGGGAGTATACACTCAACCCACATGCCCTCTATGTAACCTACATGAGGAAATGGAGAAGACCCACCTGATTCGGTGTCCAGCTCTAAAGACAAGGACGGAAAGCCAAAGATACTGGGAAGCAAGAAGACTGCTAATGAACTGCTATTAATTAACTGCTATAAATGTACCCCCCCCCCTCTTGGGGGAAGCTGAAGTCAAATATTAAGGGCTAATGATAAATATCATAAAGCCTGCCATTTGAAATAAATAAATTATTATTCCTTTATTGTTCATAGAATGTAAAACAATTCTATTTATTACTGTTCAGCATTGGCAGTCTTTTGATTGGAAACAAAAACAACATTAACCATGTATCTTAAGCCAGAGGGCAAGATTTGAAGTTACGTACAAGAATCAAATAATTCAGTAATTGAGACTCTTTATGTTCTAGATATTATCTACTAATTACATGCCTGGAACTTCTCTCAACCTTTAAAGTTAAACGATAGCAACAGTTTACCTGGAAAGAAGGAGTTCTCCTCTCCACTTCTGAAAGCGAACATTTTTTAATGTTGTTGACAATTTACATCACTGGTTGTGTACAAGTAGAATTCAATATGTATGAAACCGGACTTTATGGGCATACGTATTTGACGGTGTGCCACTACACTCTAATCAATAAAATCTATAATTACCTTCACGTGTATTGATGCTCCAGCAGTCGGTTCCACTGACAGAGTTCGTTGTCTTTTAGGGAATTTGTTGGATCTTGCACTGTTACGAGGAGGAAGGTGTCCATTACCTACACACACACAAAAATCGAAGATCAAAACGTTTCATTAGACTAGAACTCGGCGTCCGTCTTAAATGTACTTAAACGGCCAACCAGACCACACCTAAAGTAGAGAATTCGCAGAATAAAATAAGTAAACAAATTCTATTACTAAGCCAAGAACCTAACAGGGTCTACCAGTGTCAATCTTAAATGTTCACAGGATTTTACACGATGCCATGCATAGGAGCTCGAGACAGAATAACAGAGGCGGTCTCCTCGCGGCATAGGACATATAAACATTCTAATTCACGTTGAAGTCATATATCATTTCATCCTATTTTAATTTATGATTTAAGATGCAATGTTTCAAACTTGAGTCAAGTTACGCTATTTTTAATCCCTAGGCCCTTGATTCTGATATTTTCAGAAGTAAAGCTGCTTCTATTTCTGTACGACTTCCTTTTTCTATGATGCGCAAAGCTTGAATTTCTTAATCGATTTTAATCACTGCTTGATTTTAACCCATTGAAAAAGAAAAAAAACTAATAACAAATCAACTCATATTAAGCCAGTCTTGAATTAATAACTTTTTCAATATTGTCTATTTTGGTCAATATTGTTAAAAATTGCGTCTAAGATGTGTGTTAGTGGCCAGACTATTTCGTATACCTTTATAACTAAGATGTTATTGCTTTGTACCAACAATTTGCTGTTGTTCATGAAAAATGTCCGCATGATCATGTTATCCGCCCAGCTTTCGTGACCGTCAGCGCTTTTCTATTGCACTGATCATTGGTTCAGTTTTAAAAGAACGAAGCTAAAATTTCCCACCTAAAACTTACGAAAATTAATTTTCATGGCAAAGCTTTAACCAATGAGGAAGGTGCATTGATTTTATCCAATCAATCTCATAAATTCTTAGGTTTGGAAGAGTATTACTAACTGGGCCAAGCAATCGACGTCGTTTTTTCCGAAATTGCATCAGCGTAGCCAATTTTATTGACTTGAATAATGTCCAAAAATGTGTCCCTTCGTATATCTTTAAACTCAGTGCACATGCCAAGCTGGTCAATGTGTACTGAGGTGTTACCTAAATTCCATAACGTCATCATTTTATTCGACTATTACGCAATTTCGTTTCACTCGTGTTAAATATAGCTTTATGCTCGGGTTATTCATGTTTGCAAAGTTTCTTAGTCAAAAGGAGGTTAATCTTACCACAAAGGCTAACCATATTGTGACTTATCATTTTGTGAAATTTGACAAATTTAGTAACATTGGATTGAATCCCTTGGAGCGAAAAACTGTAGCGCTGCCTTGTTCTCTAGGGGTTACCTCAATTCCACCCCCAAACCCCTCCCATCCCCCCCCCTATTGTGGGCATTGTGTCCGCTGCATGCTATATCGCCTTAAAGACCATCCGACCGAAAGTTTCTTCAAGGTAATATAATAAATATACACGATTTACAAACATTTCCGGAAGTCCTGAGCAATGTACGAAAAAATCAGACCAATTCGACGGCCATTTTCTTAAACGGTTGATATTAATGGATAAGTGAATTGTACTCTTACTTGAATGTATTTGATGCGTTTCAGTTTGATCTTCTTGGACAGTGGCAGGTAGATTTGTAACATGACTTCCAGGTCTATCACCATGTTCGAGTTTTTGGACCTTTAAACAATTGTAAAATTTTGATCGAATGAGTATAAAGACATTTCTTATTCATTTTGCGAAATATATAAATCTATTTTAACAATTACACTGATACACAACGAGTCTCTAAGATAGATGATTGCATCTTCTAGTGGCAGTTCACAAATTAACTCTAGTTTGATTGAATTTCTCAAGCATAGTGAGAAAAATGTGATTATCCTGTTAAATGACTTCAGTTTACAACAATTTCACTTAGTCATCGCCACATAAATCCTGTTTTTAAGTGATTTCTGCCACTCTCTTCGGTAATAAAATTCAGAGGGCTAGAAAAAACTGAACATATATGTTGTTCTCCCATTACCCGTTTTCTTAAATTTAAAAGTGGGAGGAAAACAATTTTTGAATTTAGATTACTTAACTTGATTAAAAATACGACAATAATTACTTACCTGATTGCAAATTCCACTTTCCAGTTCTGCCTCATTACCGCTGTGGTAGTTAGAATTCTCTGTTTGCTCAATGTCTTGGGAAAGTGAAGCCTCTGTCTTCTCTTTCGCCTCAGATTTCTGTTTCTTCCGTAACTTCATTCTTTGATAATCCCGCACTGAAAGGAAGACGAATCCCGCTGCAAAGCAGTTCAAGGAGAAGGCGGCCATTATGGCCATACACCCCCTCCAAGAGTATAGTTTGACAAGTCGTGGAATAATGATTGAATAGACGGCTGAGCCAATACTGCTACCACAAACTGAAATTCCGGTTGCTGTGGCTCGTCGTTTTGCAAACCATTGAGTGACTATTGTGGCTGAGGGTAGGTAGATCAAACCGTAGCATATTCCTTGTAAAGAGGTTTTAAACAAATGAGAGTATAGTATATTTGAAAAAAATAATAATTTCTTGAATGCATCAGATTTGGTCTACAGCCAACGATTTTCTTTTCATTTCCGACAAATTTGCCTTAACCACCTGCTTTTTGGTGACATTTGTTTACTCTTTCCTCTGCGTTTTCAATGTGTTTGCAGAAGTCGGAACTAAGTTACGACTCATTCTTAATTTAATTATTGGCAAAATGGTATAATGCAACTTCCAAATGTGCTGCAGACTTAGAAAGCCTTGTATGTGTGGAAAAACGACAAGGGACATTTTTAAGTCATACTTGCGAAACACAGAGCTTAAACAACGCACAACAAAAAAGTTAAATTTCATGAAATGTGTCAAATTTTGATATACATTTTATCATTATCCACAAAAAATCATAGCCATCTATAATAACTAAATGTGCTGCTCTTTTTAGGCACAGAATTACTCATGGTAAATGTTTCGAAGGACCTGTTTGTCGATTAAGTTAATTTCTACAATGCTTACCATTTTTTAATTACATTGCGTTTAGTTGATTCGATACAACTGATGCATGAAAGTTAGCTTAGTTCTGGAAGTACCGTATAGAATTTACTTTCTACTAAGTCAATATTGTCGAGAGCATTTTTTTAAATTTGATTTCCAATGAAGTTTTATTTCATATATAACAGTATATTCATATTTCCTCCACCTAAACCATATAGATGAAAAGATATTATCTGGAACAGACTGCTAATAGTATAATTGCCAACATTAATTGAACATGATAAGCAGTGTATCGGAGAAGATACGTGGAAATATTATTTAAAGAATTTTCAAACACAAGTGCTCTAATTATTCTATGACTCAATATACTTATTGTTTAAATTTATACTCATTGGAGTATCCTTTTACATTGCGAAATAATTTATTCAAACCCAGCTTGAGACTAAAATTGCGTCTCTATACTGAGTGGCATACACTTGGTACAAATACTTACTTCTATATTTGATCGTGGGGTGTGCGATAGACTTACCAGCACGTGGTGCACCTTGGGCAACGTTTACTCATGCGGCAAAAAATTCTATTAACCGGCAGTTAACTTCTCACTTCAAATTATCGTGACACCACTGTACGTCATGTTCGACCACTTCCACACTACTCGCCTTACTTTCTTCTCTGCTTTTATGTCTGCGAATCACGCTTCTGTCCTCCTTCTCGACATTTTGGGACTTTGATCCTCCCCTCTGCGAAGCCCGAAGTCAGCGAAAGAGTCAATGCTAATTATCATAAAGCCGGTCATTTGAAATAATATTTGATCATTATGATTGCTTTTAAATCTTATAGCGACAGTCATTTTTTTCATTAATTTGGAATCTGATTTACTATTAACTTTTTGCAATTGCATTAGATTTTGGGACAAAATATAATGACAACTTTCTAACCTCATACCTGAATCAATGGTCATTAGCCTGCCTATTGTTTATCGTTATCGATGGCATCAAAAGTAACTACTAAATAAATTTTTAATACATAACTTTTGCCACTTAGGGTAGTTAAAGTGAGAGGAACTTGTTTTTCAGTCAATAGCGCTTTGATCTTATTTCACGAAAAATTTTTGCATCATAGTTACATACTTCGAAAATTCGTATTGCTAAACGCCAAGCCAATTCAACTTCACTTTCATTAATTTTATGGTAACATGGAATACCTACGGTCAAAGTGTCTTTGCAGAAAGTGTTGAAGACTTAACACTAAACCAACACTTACTATACTCATATTAAGGGAGTGTTAGGCGTATGCGACCTAACGATTAAGGAAATAACAGAGCCTGGGTGATAATTTTTCAATAAGTTACTTGATAAACAGAAAGCGGTTTACACATACACCTCATCCTAAATTTTTATTTTCACACGCATTTTCGATCATTTATGACTGTTTATTCACGGAAATATTTGAACTACCTTAAAGAAATCGAAAAAGGCGGATCAATGAGGTGGCATGAAATTAGTAAACAGAAATCGCTTCTATTTTGTTGTCATGTTTACTATTTATTCAGGGTGAAAAAATATTATTCATTATGATATCATAGTATTTCAATTTAGTTTCCCTTTAAGTTAATCCAGACTTCCAAAAATGGAAAATTAAACTCGTACAGTCAAATCTTCACTTAATCTGTCCAACCATTTTTTAGTTTTTCCAAAATTTGCCAAACAATTTTTGAGCAGATTTGATTAAGATTGATTAAAAATGTTCACTGTAGAAAAATTACAATTGATTTTGGTTATTAGTTGTGATCTGCTTCACAAAATAATTATAGTGAGACAAATGATTCCTATATAAGAGACGTTCAATGCATTTCAGTGAAAAGACGTTTCATATACTAATTTTTTGCAGAAAATTATAATAATAAATAAATATTTAATAGAATGATTACTGTAAACAGCAAAAACGTCACTGATCCCTTACTTGATAACTAATTTTTTCATAATGTGTTTTGAAGTAATTTTAAGAATATATTTGGGGAGAATTTAACCGATTTACCATTCAAAATTTCACCTTTTGGAGTTAGTTAAAGGTATCGTTTTAAATATAAAGCACGAATTCGTGGTACGTGGAAAGTGAAAATATCGAAAGTTCTTGAAATTGGAGCTACGAAGCACCAGAATAGGAAGATTAGAGCAATTGCGATAAAAGTGCATAAAGTAAAATCTGAGAAGCCAACTGAGTAAGTCCTTTCCATTTGCCTTCTTTCGCCTTAGTTAAAACTTACTGCGCATCGCCAGGAGTTATAAATTGCAAACGGATTGGCTAGCCATGGATAATAGCAATAATTTATTGGTGAATAAAAAATATTTACCGGTAACAACACCGTAGAGAATGATGAAGGAGTAAACATCGTAGACGAAGGATGCAGTCATGACTGAACAGAAGGATGCCAGAGATCCCACCCAAACGAGAACTCGAAAGCTCACAACATTCGAAATAGCACTGACGAGTGGCCCTTCAAATAAAAGAATTATTTCACAAATTTGAGAGGTTGCAATTAAAGAGTCAGATGTTCTCAGTTTCACTGTATGTCCCCTTAAGAACAATCCGAAAGAACTAATAATAGGTGTCCAAAGATAATTAATTTACGGATTTCTTGTTTTCCCCATTTGATTTATTTTTCGTCTTGTTTAATATAACATATAAATCTCGTTTCTAATGCCATATCCTATTCAAACTAATATTTTATCAAGAATAAACTGGGCTTTGTGCCGTGGTAATTGGTGGTTTTAATTTCCAATCTATTCACAATAGGTAAAACAAATAAATAATTAACTTTTCCCAACCACTTTGAATTATTTATATGAAGCATCGTAATCAAGTATAGCTCAGAAACAGTAGCTTTCTAGTATTTAGAATTCACTTAAGCTCAACTGATTTACCAGATATGAGAGTAAACCCGACAATGAAAGATCCAGCCAGTGAAATTGTCGTTGTTGAACACTGGAAGCTTTCCTGAACGTCGGAAAGTATAATACCGAAGGAGAATGATAGACCGTCTACGAAGAACATACAGATGAAGCTTCCAGCCAACACGACCCAACCCCAGCCACCGTCAGGAGGAATGGGCGGTTCAATTTCCTCAAGGTTAATTTCAATATCTTGCGTGGATTCTTCTACTTCGACTTCAGACATTGGCATTTCGGGAGAAGGGACGGGTTTAGTTTGAGTCATTTTGAGGCCTTTCTAAAAGTAAAAATAGCGTAATTGTGCACCCGAATGATTTATGCATTGGGAATAAAAAAGCAAGTAAAACGCTATCTTCAAATAAGTCATTCATTACTTTCTAGAACAAGAACTGGTAATTTATGCGATGTCGTAAGGTATTTTTTTGAAAAATGTGCCTTGGCTTAACCTTCTGTCAAGAGGCAAATTCCATTTATCAAGTAAGAATATTCAACGAATTCTTCATAATTCGAGACACATTGCATGGTCCAATAAAAAAGTGACGATAAAATCGGCATGTTGTCGAGGCAAACAATCAATATTTAAAGGAAATCACTTCACAAACGCCATATCTGTTAATCTCAAGAAAGTGTAAAATGGTGGTTATTTACTAAACAGCTGTTTTACTCGTATTCAAAGAAGTTAATTATGCTTCATTAGAAACTTAGATTTTATTGCTGAAATAAAATGGCAGGAAATATAATAAGTGCTCTCATGAGTGACAGTTTGAACAATATGTTTGATAATGAAATCGTGTTATTTGAGGTCAAATGCATTCTCCATTTCTCAATATATCTCATTAAGTCATTTTCATAATTTTAAATATTTTCAATGATGTTTGCTCACTTAAAATGGGTTTGCAGACGTTATTGTTCATAAGTTTTGTCATCGAAAGCTTTCCTTTGCTTTCCTTTGCCTAAAGAGCAAAATTCGCGTTTTGGGATGTTCCAAATGAATGATAGGAAAAGGCGCCTTCATATTTATCATAATCCTCATCAGTAAAGCAGGTGACGTTTTTTTTCAAAGCCACCTTTGGATATTTGTATGTCCAATTATTTTCAAATACTACATTAGTGAAGCTATCAAGTATGATCAAGATCAAGTATGTATTCAATAAACGTTTTAATAAGCCCAGTAAACGTTGACCAAAATGAGGAAATTAATTCACATAGGTGAACGAAGAAGAAGCATCTCAAGTTTTAGTTAACATTCTTATTTATTAGGAAACTGCATTCATTCGAATAGATTATAAACAAAGTTAGTTTTAGTGATGAATGCAGATAATATGGTGGGGAAAGATTAACGTCATTAAAACTTTCTTTTTAATTAAAACTTTGGTAATAAAACCCTGTAACGATAGATATATTTGACTATTAGTTTCGCTATATTATTACAACATATAATTCATATAAAATGTTTATTTACCTTCTACCACAAGCCTAACCGTTCCAAGTAAACAAATCAGGGGAAGAATCTTGAGAAAACAAAATCCAAGATTTTATAGGCTTATCATGCCAATAACAGAAGTCTAAATCTGCTGGCATTTTAAGTGTTATTATGGTTGGTTAACACAGGTTCAGCTATTTGTTCGTTGGCCAGGAAGCAAGCCAATCAGAATGAGCCCAGTGCGCGAGTGCTCGTATAGGCTGTGACACGTTTTATGACATTGGGAGGTACCTAAATAATTATCTATCTACATGATCATTACATTTAATTAATCTAATTAATACTTTTGCAAAATATAAATTCATATCAGTCAAAAATTGAAGAAAATGTTCGTGTAAGTTAATGTTTCGTTGGATGCTTAGCGCCGCAGGGTTCAAAATTTCCACTGATGCCTAAAGCATAGCTTCGCTGACTACCAACGGGGCATATTCAACCATTAGAGGTATTTTTCACTCTGTGAATTTAATAGCGATGCAAGAAACAGATTAAATTCCTGCAATGTAAACAAACCAAAAATGCAAAATCTAAATGATGGAGTTCTATATTTACTTTAATGGAGGCACTCTAAAAATATTATCTTCCGGTCTCTACTTAGTTAATGGGAACATTTTTAAATTAACTAACATTAATCAGTATCGACAATCTAACTGAAGTGAAATTGCAGTTCTACTCATAGATTTCAAATTAAAAAGGTACCCATGTCATTAAATATATATATATATATATATATATATATATATTGAAAATTAAGATATCACTTCTTTAATATCTTCATCTCATATACCTTTTTCTGAATTGGTTTATATAATACTTTATTGTTCTTTAGCAGGAGTACTTGTGCTATTATTCATGAATACTAATGAAATGAACTCTAGATTGCGTGTATGCTTAAATTGTGCGGGATAGTAAGGAAATTAAAAATGAGAGATCTTGGATTCCAATAGCTCACATTTAGTCTCAGAATACATGGCGAGTCTCATTTTCGAGTTGGAAGATAGAGCAAATAACATTAATCGATAGACCCGTTTATTTTTCATACGATGTGCCAATATTTTTGTTCAATCTACTGTTTTGTTATCCATTTAATTAGTCAGATCTTGTTGCTGCTTTTACCATATTAAGTTCATTAAACATAACTAAAAGTTTCTATGAAGATCACGATATGCTTTTATTTTAGTTTACCTAATTATTGATCTCATTATAGTGCTTTTTGTCATTATAATCTGTAACCTAACGCCCAACTTTAAGTCCAATCCAATATAGCCTTCCGCAAAGAAGAAGGCCTAGTTTCCTGTTGCACCTATGATGACCTGATGCATTTGTCCAACAGTTAGTCACAGTTTGTTTAAATACAGTTTTTCCTTCTGGGTAAAGTTGACTCATCACGAATACGAAATGAGGAAATACCTTTGAATATTTAGGTCTTCCAAATGCCGGGTCATGCAAACAATTAGTGCGCTATGAAATATCATCAGAAATTTCATACTATTGTCTTAAATAAGTCATTTTTAAATTTTTCCCATATTTGAATATGATAAAATATGAAGGAAGACTTCACAAACTCCCTCTCTCCCTCTGCAAATGTAAATGCGATTAATTGATCTAAAACAGTTCTGTTTACCTCAAAATATTTGAGCATATTTTCCATATTGCCAGTTTAAAAATACCGGTTCTATTAAAACGATCATTTCTAGTAAAACAGTGCCCTATTTTTTAAGTTCTCGATAACATATTACTAATAAATATATATATATATATATATATATATATATATATATTATTCCGTTATATATATATATATATATATATATATATATATATATATCGGAATAAAGAGTTTACTAAGAAATATAGATTCAGGTAGTCGGAGAAATGCTCCCCAAATCAAGCTGTAAATTTAAGTGTCAATTGCGTATTTTAGCTAATTCTACTCACTAAACTGCTCTGAACAGAAAAATATTCCCAAAACTGATAGAATTTATTTATCATACCCTTGAAAGATGAGGACACGTAGGATGTTTCTGACAGAAAAAATGACCTATTCGTTCAAGCATGCTGTTTCAAATCGAGGTATTCTTTCTGATTGATTAAAATTAAGAAAAAGTTGATTAGCATCATGAAACGTCTTTTGAGTTTATTGTGGTCTTTTGTGACAACTAAAGTGTTTACCAACTTAATTCGATAGTTTTGAACGTAGGTAATTAGAACTGTATTAATTTTACACACTATTGTATTGAATTGTAGGTATATTTACCCAGTAACGGAGCAAGAGCAGGGATTTTGTCCCAGGAGACTCACGCTGATCAATATGTGCTTTCATTTAGCCAACGCTGCGAGTATGTCATATATAAGTTTGGTATATTAGCTATTCTTCTAAGCCCAATGATATGAAAGAAAAATATTACTCGGATTTGCAGGAGAAGTCTTGGCCTAACGAGATAAAACGCACTTTATCGATAGGTTCATTGCCTGACCAATCATGTTCTGATAGGTCCCATGATTGGATCAGTCTTCTCCGGCCAATTACTACCTACAGAAAAGTAATATCAAATACTTAAATAATTTCGCAAGCCAGTCTTGTCTACTTAAATATCCCAACGAGGTCCGGGCAAGTG